ATTTACAAAATTTGACCCCCCAAACACGATTTCTAGGTGCCCCACCAGCCCTTAAACACTCAGTATTTAGGTCATGTTTTCCAGTCCCGTCAGGGCATGACTTGTGTCCTTGGGAAACACACTTCACACACATTATCCTCATTTCACTCAAGAGGGAATGGGTCGGGGGCCTATGCGCCTAAAGATAGCAAAAGATCTTGTCAGTAAGTTAGTGTTTTATCACGTGTTATACACAGCTTGCACTGTATGCTTCCGGGGAAGCTGAGAATGTTTCTGAATGTCATAGGGGTTACTGAGGTAGTAATAGTGGAATAGTCCTCCGAGCAGGCTGCGGAACACGGGCTTGCACTGTACAACTTCATTTATCATTATAATTGTAGTTGTGGCTAGTTCAGTAAGTAAAAGGAGGCTGTACTCTGTAAAGATACATTTCAGAACATAATATATATATTTTACAAAAATATGACTGCTGCAATCTAACATGAAAAGCAAAATAGTTTAATACAAGAAAGTAACTACAATATAAATGTAAACCTTGTAAATAAAGTCAAATGGTAGACAGATTTACAATTTCACTTGTAATCAATGAATTCATTTAGCCTTTTGTCAAAAGGAGTTAGGGGATTGATAAATGAAATTCTTCCTCCATATTTTCTCATATATTTATATATCATATACATTATAATATGCTTGTAGCCTAATGAAATAGCTATCTGCTTTTCAATGGAAACAAAAATGACAGTTCCAAACCATGCATTGTCTAGCTTTCCCTGCCTGTATCAAGTCTTCTTTCTATCTAGGTCATTAGAAACAAACAATGCTGGCCCATCACCTGCTAGGAGATGCAGAGATGCCCAGTTATTATCAAATGCAATAGTTAAGTAAAGAAATAAAGGCGACATCATGCCTGCCAGACACAAAAAGTTCCTGGAGTCAGACGTAGCCCCCTATTCCCTTTATAGCCTGAAATAGTTTCATTATATCATATTAATACAAGACATATTCAACCAACTGAGCTATCACAGATAACAAGATAAATCCCAGACATCCAAACTGTTTGACAAAATGAAAAGATTCGTTCAATTTCAAGGCTCACATAATTGTTTGTGCATCACTCTTTTAATTGCGCAATAGTAGCGCAGCATAAGTACTTGGTCCATATTCATAAGATGTAAGTACCTTGTCCTTTCTGTGAGAGAACGGTGGGTATGTTTGCTGGTTGTTGGGTTTTTTTGTGTTTTTTTTGGGGGGGGAGGAGGAGGATAGAGTGATATGATTGAAAATGGGCCTAAGAGACTGGGAGAGAACAAGACAAAATGATATTGCACACAGAACCAAATGTGAATAAGACTTAAAATAAAAGATGTTGAGTGATAAAGGGAAATAGAGATTAAGTTATTTAACAATGAGTTTACTCAGAGATTACTCCATGTCTTTCGGTAGTAACCAAGGCAAAAGTTTAGCATTAAAAAAAGGGGAGGCGAGAAGGAATCAGGGAAGGGGGAGGGATTAGGGTGGGGCGAGGGAGATATATTGGAGATATCTATATGGGAACATTTTTCCAGAAGTGTACAACTTAATAGCTAACAAACACCGTGATTAGGCAAATGTTAACAGTAAATTTGTCACAAAATGTTAGAATCAGGCTCTCGAAAACTGGCAAGAATAGAAACTGCAAATTTTGCCAAGAATTGCATAAATATAAATATCTTGTTTACATAATTTGTATCAAGTAAAAAATTGGTTTTACAGAAACTAAATATTAGCACACATAAAAGCTAAGTTAAGGTTGAATGTTGAATGATGACAAACAGAAGTCATTCTGGCAGGGAGTGCAAAGTCTGTTAATGAGGTCGATCAAGATCACATTACTATTGGTGATGCAGAAATTGCATTTACAAGAAAAGTTAAGAATCTTGGCATCTATTTTTATTTTAGTTTTTCAATGTCGGCTAAGGTAAATCATCTGATCAATTGCATATATATAGAAATAAGAAAAATTTGTAAAATATACATCATCTAATCAATACTAAGTATGCTACTTTTCTAATAACTAGCTTAGTTTTTTTGTCAACACTTGATTAATGTAACTCCCTGTTATCAGGAATATCACTGGAGAACGTGAAAAGACTTCAAACTGTTCAGAACAATGCTGCACATTTAGTTTTACAGAAAAGAAAGCGAGAGTCTGCTACACTTCTTTTACGGACACTGCACTGGCTTCCTGTAGAGAAAAGAAATACGTACAAGTTGGCCTCTCTATGTCACAAATGCTTGAATGATAATGCGCCATCATATTTATCAAATCTGAGTATTCTGAGATAGTACATTCCAACTCGCAGTTTAAGGTCTTCAGCTGCCAAAAAAGATGTTTCTTTTAACATCTATGAAACTTTAAACAATGGGTGAAAGGGCATTTGAATATCAAAGGCCCAAGATCTGGAATGCTTTGCCAAGTAGATCTAGTTTAAGAGAGATCAAACTCTTTCATTTATTCAAATGTAAGCTGGAGTCATGAACTGTTTTTAAACTATTAGGGCTTATTTAATAACTTTCTTAAATACATTTATTTACATTTTAACCCATACCCATGCTCTACAACATTACTGTAGGGGAGAGAGAGAGAGAGAGAGAGAGAGAGAGAGAGAGAGAGAGAGAGAGAGAGAGTGAGAGAGAGAGAAGAAGAAGGAGAGGGACAGGGAGAGGGAGGGAGCAAGGAGCAATGGAAAGGGGGAGGGGGGGGGATATATTTAAAATACATTTGTTAAAAGTGGGACTACTCAGAGTGAAAATGCTGCTGGAACAGAACAGACCAGTAAACATACATAAGTAAAAATATCTCAATGACCAGTTTGCACAGGACGTCTTCAAACCAAAAAGAATACCTCTACAAATAATTACAAAACGATTGTAAGATAATCCACAAATCATCAACAGAGTCTGCTCTGGTGTCATGCAAACTTCAGACCAACAAAGCGCTCCTGAGTGCGTGTGCCCAAAAACACAAAACAAACATTTGAAAGCATCATTAACCAAGTCTTCAGACCAAAAAAAGGAGCTGAGCTAATTTTTAAGTTCACCATATTATTCCATGTGGTTGATATGAATTAACGGGAGGAGCGCCCCTCAGTTTAGCTGATTTTGGGTCAAGCTATGCAAATTGAGATGTTCGAAGGTTGTTTTTTTTAAGATCAACCAGTTCTTCCTCTTAAAATAGCAAGGAGACAATTGAGAAGGTCTTTATTCTCATCGTAAATTGTCTTTGAACACATGACAGTGAATTTTATTTTCGTAATAATTGTCATTTTTCTCAAAATGTCTTTTTTTTGTGCAGTTTTCCCCCTCATCTTTCCTTAGTTTTCATCCCTTTGACATGAAACTTTCAGGAAAAATAGATGACAAGGATGCCATCAATGTAACAAAGAGATATTTGCGGAAAAAAAAACCCCACTTTTCCATTGGCAAGCGATTAGGCAATGAAAATTTAGAAAAGGTTTATATAGGCCTACATTAGAGATATTCTCATATTTTTTTCTATTACACTTATTTATTGAAAAAAGCTTGCTGTTACGTTGATAAGGACTGATTCAGGCATACTAGCTCTCACCAAATACCAGTAACCAAAAAAGCCTTAAAGGGATTCGAAATTAATTGTTTATTTTCAAGATGGCGGCCGTTTCCATAGCAACCGTGGTAGTTATGCAAAAAGAAAAGTACGTATTAATAGATTTTTCTATTGCCTAACTTATAAATGTGTATTTGGATGTGATCTCCGCCAACAAACATAGAAAATAGACCTTGAGGGTAGCTCCTTCCGTTTACAAAAGCTTGAAAAGAGTGCACAAAGACATGTCAACAAATGTTTATTATCTGAGCAGTCAGGAAACCGGCAGTAGTATAAAATTCCATCAACAGGCAAAATATTCAACATGGTTCATGAGATCAAGCATGGTCAACAAGGTCAAAGAATTGAGAGTATAAATACATGTTTCTGTAAGCATTGAAGTGAGTCAGATTAGAACATCATCACTTTTCTGTAAAACTTTCTTGAACAAAAGAACCAACTCGTGAAAAAGACTTGGAGTTGGAGTAAATTCTCTTGGAAAGTTCTGTATATCATCACTTATTGGAGGCAACATTCTACCTATTAATCGGGCCTCTACAGTTGCCCCGCCTGTAATACATGAGACATAAACAGTTCCAAACAAAATGAATGCTCCTTGTGTGGAAATTTCCACCAACAAAGGTGATGGTGCTTGTCGAGCAAAAGTTGGTGCATTTTCTCTGATGAATATAATAATGATTTATTTAAAAAATTGTCTCTAAACTCTAGTCTTATCTATGCATGAATCCTACATTCAACAATATGTATGGAATAGTGGTGAAATCAGAGGTGCTCGTCAAAATTATGTAATTTATTTTTCCATCTGTTGGGCAATTTTTATTGACTTTTTTGGGCTAAAAACTTTTAATGTCCATTTTAGAACATAGTTATTTCTATACGGATATTACTGAAAAATGTTGATCAAAGCCATGAAAAACGTAAATTTGCAGTTTCCAAGGGTACTCAATCTTTTGGCAGTCACCAAATTTTGGTGGCTATTTTTTTCGGTAGTTTTACCTCTGAAAAAGGTGACCTCCATCCCCCTTCAATCCCAAATATCTCAACCTTTTTTCAAGAATATGGGTATTTTCTTCTATTCAAAATAGATGGGTATGTTTTTTGGTTAAAAGGAGGACAAATGAACAGGATTTAAGACGTATCAATAACTCCTTAACATGCTCAAAAATTAATGAGCATCTGATCCCACACTGTTATGACACATACACACAAAGTCAAGGATAGGTGCGTTCTTAGTGCACGTCTCATAACCATAACAGTAGAGTTGGAAAACCGGACAGGGAGGGGAGAGGGAACCGGGGAAGGGGGAGGAATGAGGGGGTGGGGTGGTGGGGGAATGATTTGGGGTGGGGGGGGGGAGTGATGGGGAAATGGGGAGGGAGGGTAGAAAGGTTGGGGAGGGGGATGTCATGATCTCATTACAAATCTATCGACATAAATTGTTAAATTTTTCAGATTTTGTCAATTGACACTGAAGAAACAAATTTACTCGATTTCAGCCACTACTTCCAGAAACATCTTTTCAATGTAGAGACATAAAAGAGTACATGGTGTAACTTTGTGGACATTGCAAGATTTGTTTTGAAAGGAATACAACCCAGACCCACTGTACAGCACTTGGCAAAGAAACCTGTCTCACAGAAGGAACACTGTTCACTATCATCAATGCTTAGATGCTATTACATTCAACATTAGATTTTTACAAATGTCTCGCTTTATTTCCTTACTTATATTCTTCTTTTCTGAAATCACTGGGACAAATGCACAGCAATTTAAGTGGCCTATTTCTGTTGAACAGGGCATTTAACTTATTGAAAAACTGGTCCAAAATGTATTCAGTTTAAAGGAAAATGCATAGTTGCTGCATAATATAATATTCATGTAGCAACCTTCTCTACTTTGACTTGGGACAATGTATAAGTCCATATTTTGACCACTGTCCTTCAGATCATTTCTTTTGATCACAGCATTACAATCTCTTTGTCCTTTTCCATTTTCACTTTGGCCATCTAACTTTTATCTAGTCGCTCTTAATGCTAGAAGTTGCACCTTCTTTTCGTATCCTAGACAAGTCTTTGTTGTCATTAGATCTACTACTAGTTGTAACTTCTTTGTGGCTCATGGCAAGGCAAAACTCATGGCGTGGATTATCTCCACACCCACGACACTCTGCACTCCCTGCCCCCTGCACCAAGTGAGCACCACCCATGACTTCAGCTATACACTGCTGCAGAAGACTGATATACGCATGTCGCTCCTTCTCCATATTGTGTTGGTCATTCACATAGCGACGCGCATTGGTCACTAATGTTTGTCTTACATCACTGCTGGACAGTAGCAGCTGAGCTTTCTCCAGGAACATCTGAGCCAAAAAGATTAATTTGTAAAGAGTGCCTTAAAACAAAAATCTCTGTCCAAGTTGAAACCTAAAGCAATCTATATATGATATTCTAGAAGCATGCATTTGAACATCCTTCTTTGCTAAATAAAACAAAAATTAGGTAACCTCTTTAGTCTGGTAAGGGAACTGATACTTAATTAAGTTTGAACTAATGCATTTAAAGACTCCAAGTAAGTATTGAACTTATAGAAGTACCTCATAGCATGGGCCAAAATTGCAAGTGAAATGCCCTACTAAAGCATAAAATTAAAACTATATCATTGAAAAGTAATGAATTTAAAAAGGAACAATCCTCTTGCTAAATAATAAATGAACACCAGGAAGCAGATGAAGAGAAATGAGGCTGTGTTCATGTGTAAACACAGTGTTTCTAAAAGTTGACATTCAAACATGTTTTTGCAACTCAAGAGTGTGCATTTACCTAAGACCATCACTTAAAACTTAAATAAACATAACACGGGTGAAATTTCATGAAAGTTTGGGCAACAGACAAGGGGGTCTGATTTGATGATAACAAGAGTTAATCCATCTTGATCTGTACTGATGATGACCTTTAACATCCAAGTAGGAAGAGAGGTGACTGATTGATAGTAAATGATAAACGCACCCATCAACACAAATACGAATCCTGGCTGCTTCGATCCTGTCTGTCAAGACAAGCCGGTTGTGAGTAGGAAACAATATTCCCTACAAAAAGACAGAGATGCTCTATAATATATCTCCCCAATTCAACGACCAAATTCACATTTTCTGCGTACAAGCCTTTAGCCTATCCATTACACCACAGTTGCCTGTACTGCAAGAAATATTTTGGAGGGAACGTGGCCAAATGGGATGTACAGCACCTACCTGCGGAGAATCGAACAGTAGTCCAGTGAGTCCATTGCTGACAATAGCACAGTTGGCTGGGATATCTCGTGCCAGGACAGGTAATCCAAGCTTCATAGCCTGCACACCCAGTCATGGAAGATGGGATTAGATTGTGGGAAAGCTATTCAACTGTTTTAAATTCAGAAAGCAACCTTTTTCAGGAGACATAAAGAAATGTTTCATTCTTTTAACAACTGTACCTACAGCATGCATATTTTATTGCTTTTTTCAACATTTAAAATTTGAATTTTTACTAAACATTCATCAAGCACATGCAACGTTATGTTTTTTAAAATCAAAATTTTGGGAATAGTACGTCTGAACAGCTGGTTAGTGAGATGTACTTTATTGATCCAACAGAGAAGGAAATTGACAGTGAGTGTGCTTTTACTGGTTTCTTTGTCATAAAATATAAATATTCAAAAGCATATCAACAAGAAAGCACCAGCATCTGAGGTGTAGCGGTTACGTATGCTGCCATCGCACACAAAAGATGTGAGTTCGATTCTCATGTGGGGAGGTCTTTTTCATCTAGTACCCCTGTCTGTCGGTTAGGATGTTGTATCCTGGGTTGGTCCTGACAGCCAGGATTACATTAGATCACCTATATAATCTAAATAGTGTCAATAAAGACGTAAGACACCATCAATCACAATTACAATAGACTCTCAAGGCAAACCCTCACTTAATACATTTTCATAGGAAAAAAAATTGTCAACAACTGAATATATAAAAATGCACATGCATGTCGTACAAATCATGTAATTTGTATGAATAAACACCAGGTCAGCAACTTTATACAAACACATCAAACATGGTTGGGTGTCAGCATACAGCACTCTCTTTGATTTGATTCAGTCTCTTGTAAAAAAACATACCCAAGTCACCACACATTTCATTGCCTTGGTCATTTGTCATTGCTTGACACTTTCAAGAAACTGTTTGTTGGTTAGTTTGTGTGAAAAAAGATGCAGATCCACACAACCACGGTCATTCAATGCAAGGGAGAAGTAAAACAGACAGACAGAAACGATAAAGGGAAAGTTAAAGAAGTAAAATCCTTGCAGTGGCACCCTACAAGGAACCACTTGAGTTGCTGAGTTCACTCAACCACTAGAGACTAATGTTACTTTCAAAAGCATGGGTAATTGCTCGACCTAACTTGTAGGGACAACCATTTGAGTTGACAACTATTTCAGAGATACAGGACAACAACAATTGTCAGTGCAGCACATATTTATTTGATTATGGTCCAACTTAAAACACACTACATGATATTTTCTTTATAAAGGTTGATGGGTGCTCTGAAATGGTTTACTCCTTCTTTCCTATTAACATTTATTGTCTTTATCTCTCTTCCTTCTTTTCTTTGTAGGTTACTCTCCAGTAACACCTCGAATCTCTGGCCCTTATATTAAAAGACCTAATTGTTGCAGGTGCCATAAAACGCTTTCTAAAACTAAATTACAACTAAAAACTAATCACACAGAGTATGTCCACTGTCAATATTTTAAAATAATCCAGTATATAGTACAATTTTTTTCCCACACGTTTTGTCCCTTAAATAACAGTATAAATCATGAGAAGAAGGTTTAGAGAAATTTGTCGTTAAAACAAAGCCTTTCCTGAAATACCAGAATGCTAAGAGAAAGCTGTTAAAATATTAAATATACTTCTCACAAAAACGGATAAATTCCGTGAGTGTATCATATAGGAAAAACAAGTTTCTTCTACAAATTCAAAAGTTTTGATCGTAATTTGTGCCCAAATGTAGGCTTCTTCTGTCATGAAAGAGTCATTTGTCTTTAGATATCGGCACATTCTCAGAAGCCCCAGTGTTTCTGATCTCCTTCATATTTTAATGTGTAGTTAGCTCTGTGGTACCACAGAACACCCGGGTGGATAGCTTGGTTCAAATTCCCATGAAGGATGATTAAACTGAGCTACCCTGAGAGTCACCTTGGCTTTCTTGCCATAAGCTATTATTCTACAGCATGCAGAAGGACTCCCAAAATCTGCTATCTTGCCTCCAAAGGAAGAGTTTCAAATTCATGGTCCACGGCATCAACTTGACATTGAAATTCAGTGTTAGTGCGGACTTGACATTGAAATTCAGTGTTAGTGCCGCCAGCGCGTTTTTCTCTGAGGTTTTATATTCCTAATAACTTAAGGGCTAGCACAGCTTGAGCTCATGACAGCTTCTGGTGGTGAAAAACCGTTCATATTTTGAGCTGCTTTCAATAAAAATTGAGAAGATTAGGTCAGCTGAACTTTTTCTTTTAATACTAGAGACCTTTTGTTGTGGAATATTTAATACCGCCTCGGCTCACTAAGATGCTACCTCCAGAGGCTCCAGGTAAATTAAGTTTGAAATCACAGCTCTCAAACAGTTTAACAATGTTGAAAAAGGAGTGAATTCCGTATTTTGTTCATCATGCATGTATATAATTATTACTCACTTCCAGTATGGAGAGACACATGCCTTCGCTGTCCGACGTGTTGACCAGAGCTGTGGCCTGGGTCAAGGCCGCGTGCACGTCTTCCATGGGGAGACCAGGTAAGTACACAACACCGGGCGATCTGTGGGAATCAAACTTCCAGTCAACGGCTACAGCACTTTCATCAACATAATAATAATAATAATAATGATAACAATAGATAGAATTTGTATAGCGCAGATCCCCGCTCAACAGCAAGCTCTATGCGCTTGACAATCCATACTATTACCCCAGCAGACCAGAGGGCAATTTGAAACAACCTCACCTTCATACAGAACAAGCAGCCATTTATAGGCGCTAAAACACTAACATACTTACAACATCTTTCGCTGTCTATGGCCGGGTACCCATTTCCACTTGAGTGAAGTGAGGAAAATTCGTGTAAAGTGCTTTTTCCAAGGACACAACGTCGGACCCGCGACTCGAACCTCCGAACCCGCAACCTCACGATTATGAGTCCAGTAGTCTAACCACTAGGCCACCGATACCAGTTATAATTCAGGTCATCATGGAATACATAGTGTAATAATAATAATAAAAATAATAATAATATAACAATAATAATAATAATAATAGTAATACCAATAATAAAAACAATAATAATGATAATATTACAGTAGTCTCTGCCTAAGAGTCTGATGCTCGGGAGCAAGGAAAATGCGGGATCTTAGGTGAACAGGATCTTAGCCGATGCACCAAGGGAAAAATCTACTGCACTATCACAACAGGACCAAATTAGCTGTCTATATTTTTTAAAATTTGGTACCCAAAGATGTGCAGTGTCATGTTTGTCACGAAGGAGAAGAAACATTGATTGCTAGTGAATTAGATTCTCTTCTTGTGTCAGTAACTTCCTGAAGGAGCCTACTGAAAATAAATGAGCCATGTTCAGTGAAGGCTGTACTTATCACACCTAAACGCCGTCTTACCAAATGCAATCAGCAACAACTGTACCAGATAGAACAAAATTGTGGAACAAAAATACCTTGAAAAAGAATAAACGCAAATATGGAAGTGGACAGCACACACAGTGTAATCAAAAGGTCCCTGAAAATGGTATGGTCTATGTGCTCATGGATAATCTTGAAAGTTTTTAAGAAAACAAGACAACATCCCCCCC